GTACAAAATGTTTAAGCAGAGCAGATTAATGCCTCAAAAATTTGCTAAAATTTAAAAATGCTCATAACTCAAAAAATTAAGTCAGAATAAGGACATCAATATGTATCAGTGGGTTATGGGTAACCATAATGTGTACTATAATATGCATCATTATGGGTTATTAAACCAAAACTATGAATAATTTATAACAGGTTTATAAATTGATTTCTGGTCCATAACCAATCCTGGTTACGTTAGTCTATTATATTCCTAGCCTAATGCAAAGGGTCTATTACTATTGGCAATGCAGAACGTTTTTATAGTTTTCCCATTCATTTTGATGGGAAAGGTTTCCGGACCGGGTGTCTTCCTTTAGTTTTTGTTGTGGGCAAGTCTGGTTTAGACTTTAGATAGTGAGTTTTTACCTCAGTTTTTTTGTGAGGATGAGGGTTTCTTTGTCGAAGTCGGTGTTTTGGTTGAAGGAGTTTTCTTGGGAGTTGTGGCCTTCTTGTCTGTAAATATACATGCACATGTATAATATTAATAAGACGCAAAATGTACAAATTGCACATGATGTATATCTATAGATAAAACATTGTATATCTATATATAATACATTGCATAAATTACATAACTATAGACTTGGGCCAAAGTCTATGGTTTTGCAACCAAACAAAGACCTTGTGTATGATAGAAAGTTTGATACCCTGCCAATGTTTTTTTCCAAAAAATAGCTCCAAAACATGCATCCCTAACTTTTATTACATTTTCTGATACATATTGATGTCCTTAGTGCTGTGTAGAAAGTTTGAACTAATTCCAATTAAAACTTTTTGAGTTATGCCCATTTATAAAAATGCTCTTAAGAAACAATTCTCAACATCTGAAACTGATTCGAATCATTGTCTTCATCTTTATTCCATTCTCATCATAGTAATGGGAACCACTGACATAAATTACATTATTAATCAGATGAACTATATTTATTCAAGGCTTGGGCTTTCTATACAGCATATGCATAATCTTAGCTCTTGTTCCATGGTCTTATTGCTGGTGGGACTGAAGAATCAACAGAGTATCTGTTTCTTATGTGGTATAGGCTAGAGTTGGTAGATGACAATAGTATTTGCAGTGCACCTAAGGATGTTACATCCACAAATGAACTTGTAAGGTTAATTTTAAGCAGCAAAAAATAAAATGCAAGTAATCACAAAAATGATTATAATTAATAATATATAATTGTACTATATCTAATTTTTGCATCGTCTAATTTGACAAATGATCACTTTTTATCTGTCAAGTCCTCTATTCCTGAATCTAAAGTTAAAGTAGAAGGAAAAGTTCTCATGCTACTAATATCTGATAAAGTATAATGTCCACTGGATACTGTTCCTTGAGATACAAATGAGAAAACACTAATAGCATCATCTTCCTTGAAGTTTCCTTTTTTAAAATAACTATTAATCAACATCCTTGTTTCAATAGTCTTGGCAAATGATAGGGCAGTGTTGCCTTTATTAGATTTAATAGTTGGATCAGCTTTCCAGTCTAATAGTAACTTAACTAGTCCATAATATCCTCTAGATCTAGCAATGGCAATCATTAAAGCAGTAACACCATCTTTGGATTGAACATTAGGATCAACTTCTTCCTTCAGCAACAGTTCAACTATTTGAGTGTGACCATTTAGACAAGCCAACATTAAAGCATTTCGACCATCATTCATTTGAACATTAGGATTAACGTGTTCTTTCAGCAACAGTTCAACTATTTCAATGTGGCCATTTAGACAAGCCAACATAAAAGCATTCCAACCATTCTTATTTTGAACATTAGGATCAACTTGTTCCTTCAGCAAAAGTTCAACTACTTGAGTGTGACCAATTTTACAAGCCAACATAAAAGCATTCCAACCATTTTTATTTTGAACATTAGGATCAACTTGTTCCTTTAGCAACAGTTCAACTATTTGAGTATGACCATTTAGACAAGCCAACATTAAAGCATTTTGACCATCATTCATTTGAACATTAGGATCAACGTGTTCTTTCAGCAACAGTTCAACTATATCAATGTGGCCATTTAGACAAGCCAACATTAAAGCATTCCAACCATTTTTACTTTGCACATTAGGATCAATTTGTTCCTTCAGCAACAGTTCAACTGTTTGAGTGTGACCATTTTTACAAGCCAACATGAGAGCATTCGCTCCATCATTTATTCTAACATTGGGATCAACTCGTTCCTTCAGCAACAGTTCAACTACTTGAGTGTGACCATTTTGACAAGCCAACATGAAACCGTTTCCTCCATCTTGCTTTTGAACATTAGGATCAACTTTTTCCATCAGCAACAGTTCAACTACTTGAGTGTGACCATTTTGACAAGCCAACATAAAAGCATTCACTCCATCATGTTTTTGAACATTAGGATCAACTTGTTCTTTCAGCAACAGTTCAACTATTTGAACGTGACCATTTTGACAAGCTAACATAAAAGCATTCCCTCCATTTTGTTTTTGAACATTAGGATCAACTTGTTCTTTTAGCAACAGTTCAACTATTTGAGTATGACCATTTTGACAAGCCAACATAAGAGCATTCCAACCACCTTTCTCTTGAACATTAGGATCAACTCGAACCTTCAGCAACAGTTCAACTATTTGAGTGTGACCATTTTGACATGCCATCATTATAGCATTCACTCCATCATCTTGTTGATATTTATAATCAACTCCTTTACTAATCAATAGCTCAACAACCTCATAGTTACCACAAAAACTAGCAATCATTACAGCATTTGATCCTTTTGGTAACTTCAGGTGAGGATTAGCATTAGCTTGTAGTAACATGTGAATGATTGAAACATGATTATGTTTACTTGCTATCATTAGTGCAGTCCATCCTTCATTGTCCTGAATGTTAACATTAGCTCCAGCAGACAATAAATCGTGTACAATGTCCTGATCTCCTCTTTCACAAGCTAACATTAGTGCTGTCTTGCCTTCTTCATTAGTATGATCAATATTAACAGTTTCTAGTTGAAGAAGAAACTCTACTGCTTCATTATTACCAGCTGTGACTGCCACAAGGCGAGCTAGTTCAAAGGTGAAGCTCTTATTCTCATCTTCTTGAAGGACAGGATGATCATTAATGTATAAACTAAATATACCAATGAGACACATAAACTGTAACTTTCCTTGAGTATATTCTATTAGACTATCAGCTGTAATGTCAAGAATAGGTAACTTGATGATAACAGATCCTTCCTCAATTGTGATACATTTCATTATTGACTGTCTAAGTTCTTTTGGTAGAAGTCTTCCAATGAGAATATATAGTCCGTTAATTGTAACTTCATTCCAAGGATTTTGTAGTTCAATGCATATCAATGACATATTCTCCAAACATCGTCTATTAGGTCCATACACTTTCCGTAGCTTTTGTTTGAGTTCAGTGATTGGTGTTGATAAACGAAATACCTTAGCTTTTAATGAATAAACCTTCAGTTCATCAAGTAGATCTTTCTCATCACTTATAAACTCATTACACATAGCAACTATCAGACTACAGTCAATGAAGTCGTAATTATAATAGATCTTTCTAAAAATATCATCTAGATCATTATCTAGTGTACCATGTGCCCAGTGAAGGTAACACTCAACCCAATTTGATATTTCAAAGGAAAATCTAGAATTTTGCTCTACCTTTTTGTAAAAAGCTGATTTCACTTTTTTCATAATGTGAGAAAATTTTGCTTGTAATTTATCCAAAGAATCTTGAACTGCTTGATCATCTTTTGCAAAGAATATTATTTCAGTGCCACCTATAAGCAATAATGCATAAACAAGTGATAGTTATTTATTAATTCATTGCTTACTATCAGAGTATGACGTTCTTGGTGATAATAATGACATTGTAGAAGGCTCAGCATTACTGTATATGTGACCTTTAATATCTTGAGCTAGTTTATTCTGATTGAGTGTAGTCAGTGAATCAATAACATCTCTCCATGTTGCTATAGGGTTGACTGACAACCATTTTGAGTATAATGCTAACTTTCTGTCTTCAACTTTTACTTGTTCTTGTTCAATTTTTGAAATATCATGCTCTTTCATTCCACCTAAACATAAACCAAATTGTTTCCACTCAACAAGTGGTTCAAGCCATTGAGTTAGCAATGAAATATCAGGTCGATCATCAATTGTAGGGCCAGGATTGAGTTCAATATCTCCTGATAAGAGGAGGAGCATACATAGACAAACAATCAAATTGAGATCATTGTAAATCAGGTTAGAACTGCTGCCTTCAGGTAAGACTACTGACTGGAGGTAATTTGTATCAGTAACAGTAACACGAGTAGTACATTGTACTTGGTAACAGTTACCTAATAATAAAATACCACTAAATATACAAGTACAAAGTGGCAATTGTTGTTTACCTGTTGGAGGAATCATCAAGATGTGTCTTAATAAAGAGAGAGAGTGAAAGAGGAGGAGGAGTAAAGCAATAAGAGACAGAGCTGCTGACAGTTTAGATGTCTTCTCTCCTGATGTAGTACTGCCTGACTTGCTGTCTACTGCAGCTTTGAATGAGTGAGAGTGGCGGCCATTAGCTGGTCTACTGGAGGCAGCTTGACAGTAGCTCCACAGTCCAATACTTGCTCTCCATTGAGAGACATCAATCATCTTGTAAGACAGTTAAGAAATAATATATAGTGCTTGTAAAACAGAGGAATGCGCCTTGCCCCTGATGAGTGAACAGAACACCACAGTCACACTCTCCTTATAAGGACATTGGTAAAGAATGCATATACTACTCTAAAAAACAACAGATGGCTCCAAAAAATTCTTGTGTAAACATAAATTTGTATGTACCAAATGTAGGAGTAATCCAAACCTAGATATGTTTCTTAGATCAAAAAAGCACATTTAACTGATAGACTCCTCCAGGGAATTGTATAATGATACATATATAGCACTTAGCAGTAAGACCATTGCTTAATGGTTCACACAAAAAGAATGAATTTTTAAGAAAAATAAATAAACCAAAACAATTACACAAAATTAATGAAAACAGAATCACTCCTATAGTACAGCAAAGGACTCATGTCTACAGTAGGCATTAGGAGACAGAAAAGAACCAATAATAATAATACTTATTATTATTATTCATTATTCTTAGAACACAAAAGTCTCATCAGCCATTTCAATAGCCCAAGCAAATTTCTCTCTCTGAGTTCTGTTGTACACCTTCTCAATAGGGACACCCCACTTCTTACACCAACTGACACTGATCCTTGGATCAAGATAGTTCAGTTTAGATGTGCCTAACGCTATCTCCTTATTCTCCTCCTATACAAGCAGAAGGAAATAGTAACATATTATCAATAAAGTAAATGTTAACATAGTTATGTGCAGCAGTTAACTTGTTATGAGCATTTTTAACGACCTGGGGGCGTAGCCCCCAGGGCCAGGTCGTTCCTATAATTGATTTCACCATCGCGCTATATATATATATATATATATATATATTTGTATGTCCACACTTACATTTCTTCTATACACGTTGTATTGGAGAAATAACAAGCCTTAGCAACCACCCGCCCACGCTCCTTTACGGGGTGGGTGTGGCCACGGCAAACAAAATGGCGGCTTACACATGGGACAAAGTTAAGAGCTTTCTAACAGCAAGAGAGCATAGAGATACTGTCTAAAGACTTCTCTAGAAGCATTATAAGGTAGAGAAAACCTCTATAAGTCTTAATAATGACAAAGTTATACTTGCAAGGTGGTGAAATCAATTATAGGAATATTTTTTACACTGTTACGCTTGTTTAAATGGCCATAACTCAAAAATTTTCAGTTGGAATCAGCTCAAACTTTCTACAAAACATGAACAAGTAGTACATACACAAAATTTAGTTATGTACATAATTTTTAATAAAATAATAAAAATTATGATAAATTTTATTTATGTTGAAGTTGCACACAAATATTAAAACTATTCTACACCCTCAGCACTAACTAAAATTAAATGTACATGTATTCTCATAATTACACAAAGTACAGTGCATTACCTTATCAGTGGCTTGTATTTCAAGTTTCTTTAGTTGTTCCTCTAGCTTTGGAAGCTGTTTCACTTTACTCTCTAGTTTCCTGAAGATTACAGAGATGCACAGAGTTAGTGGGTGGAGTTAGAACGTGTCTCTTACTTCTGCAGTTTAGAGTCTGAAGTTCCTTTCAATTCTTTCTTCATTTTCTTTATTTCTTTTTTAGCATCAAGAATGGCTTCCTCTTTAGCTGTTATCTGATATCAATAAACAGACCATGTAACATAATACATACAGTAGGAACATGATTACATGTACATTATTACTAAAATGAATACATGAATGTGTTCCAATCAATCTATTGAGTATATTGTTAAAATTAAGTCATGTACGGTACATCAAGTACATGTACATGTACTGTATAGCTCAAATGCAATGCAGGGTTTCATAGAGAGGGGGGGGGTGGCACTGGGATTTCCCCCCCCCCCAAAAAAAATTCTGTATGAAAGCCTACTCAATGAATCCATTAAAATTATTACAAATATATATTGTACATGTATGCAGAAGCCAGCACAGTTCCTACGTGTACATTATGTGTACATTCTAGAGATGTACCAATAATCGGTTGGCATATCGGATATCGGCTTATCGGCCTGCTTTTTATAGTATCGGTTATCGGTTTCTTTGCATGCATCTTGCAGATATAGCAACACATGGTCATATGCATGAGAATAAAGGGTTAATTAATTAATTTTAAGACATTATGAGCTAGAAAAAATGTCGAAATGATTCTATAGCTGGGACTACTTAAAAATTAGTCAAGATAGTAAATTAGGAAGTGTATAAATCACATTGTACATGCATAAATCTGTGCCTAAAAGGTAGAAAGGAAAATATTGGATCGGTATTGGCCAGTATTGGCTATGTTAATATCGGCATATCAGAATATTGGCTAAAACCCATATCGGTACATCTTTAGTACATTCCTACAATGTACAGTTAGTACATTGCATGAAAGCCTGTAATGTACACAACAACACTCTTTAGGGCCAATTGGCTCAAAAATTCACAAAAATGATTAGAGTGCTAATTTTGCTATTTTTGTTATAAATCAAAGCAATTTGGCACAAAATATGAGCAACTTTGAGCCAAAAGGCCCAAAACCATACAAACCCTTGACAATACTAAGTACATGTACATGTATGTGTCATTTATATGCTACATGTATATATGGTAAGTACATGTACCTTTGCCTGTAGGTTACTCATTTGTGTATCAAAAGTCTTTGGAGCTGTTCTCTGATGGTTACAGAGTACAGCCACAGCACGATTAGCTCTGTTGTATGATAATATCTTCTCATTTACAGTATCATCCTCTAATGAAACAACAAGAGAAAGTAAATAAAGAAAATTCATACCATAAAAAAATATACGTACATGTACATGTACAATGTACATGTATACTTAAATCAGTGCTGAAGTAAAAATTTTTTCAGCAAAATCTACTGTATTTAAATATACTTATACATGTACTGTACAGGTTTTCAGTTTACTATTATTATCAAAAGAAGGCTTGAATGTTTTAAGTAACAATTAAAACATTTTGGGTAACATCAACTAGTACGTACATGTACATGTAACTATACATGTACATGTACATATGTACCTTTAGTTAGTTCTTCTAGTTGTTCCTGCAGTGTTATTGATGCATTGTAAGTCCTGAACACTTTAGCAGTGAGCCCTTCCATCAGCTCCGACAAGTGTTTGTTCAGTAAAGCAGTCTATGGGATGGGCATTATTTAGAAACACATTATTATTAATATTATTGGGGCGAGCATGAGCGAGACCCACACTAATCTGTCTAGGTCTATTTGCGTTACGTCTTGTTTATGAACGGAAGAATACGAAAACTAAATTAGTATACTATTATTGATAAATTTGGACCACGTGGGCAAAATTAATCTAGAGGGTGTGGTCACAAAGAGCAAGATGGCGGAAATTTTAACGTGACAAACTCAGATTGAGTTTCTAATAGTTGAAAAGAGAGAGGGGCTGTCTAAACCATCTCTAAAGGCTGAAGAACTTAAAAGCAGTTTGATCTAAGACTCCACTAGATTAGTCCTCTCATTGACAGAATTAAAATTGTGAGAGAAACTTGATTAGAGTTTCAAGTAGCTTGTCACCGGCTTTTTCTCAAAGCATTAGGACAGTTCATTCTTGTCACTTTTATTAGGTCATTTTGGTCAGTGGTGTTAAATAGTGGGTTTGCTCTGTTCAGACCCCGCCGGACTATGAGGATGGGGTCTGAATATGCATGCACGTTAAGAGCTGGATTGATTTTATTTCAGTAGTTTTATTTCAAAAAGATGTTAATTGATGGAAGCTTGATTAAAAGTTTAGCTTGGCACATTTTTTTCAAAGTGACAGGATAGTTCATTCTTGTCTCTTTTACTGGGTTATTTTGGTTGTGTTAACTGGTGTGTTTGCTCTGTTCAGACCCCGGCCATGAGGCCGGGGTCTGAATATGCATGCAGGCTAAGAGCTGGATTTATTATAATTTTAATCTTCTTATCAAACAATGTGAATTGATGGCTCGCCCCCTCAATGTTTACATTCACCTAGTTATTGTTGTTGTTGTTGTTATTAACTCACTGATAGTCTATCAAAAAGGTCGTCTCCTGTTTCTTTCCCTTTCATGAAAATGTGAAGATTCTTAAATACCTGATGAGTTACCTAAAAGAGGAGGAGGAAGATTAGATATACATGTACATGTACATGTACAAAGAGGATGCAATTAAGGATTTGTGTATGCACTCCAATAAAAATAATAGCCAAATATTAATAACACATACATGTACATCTACATGTACATGTACATATGTAGTCAATGTACTGTATAGCGGGTAATTTTGCAGGGGAAAAATTTCAAAAATTGGCGGGTTTTACATGTAATATGGCGAATGACTATCAAAATGCTATATTCACCAAAATTTATCGCCTCCAAAAATTACCCACTAATACAGTACATGTATGTGTACATGTACATGTCCACATACTTGAACTTCGTTGTAATATCTAATTGAATCTTTTCCAAGGAAGTCAAACACCACCATATCACTTTTACCGTTCAACTCTTCATGTAACTCTATATAAATATAACAATCAATAACCGCCCACTCACTAGCTGTGACATTAATTAGAATAACTCACTGATGTGCTCAACTCTCAAGGAGCAGCAACCAACAGTGTCTGCCGCCTCGTCAGCATCTTTCTCATTCCCAGCCCTCAGAGCCAGTTTATCAATGAAATACAGAGCAACTGCCCTATAATGGGTAATGTACATGTGTATGTACAATGTATAAAGAATAACGTACTATAATGTGTAATACATGTACATGTATAGAAAAATCATACTACATGTACAGGTACAGAGTCCAAATTTTATCAAAAAGAGCTCAAAGTTTCTACACAACATACATGTAAGTATAAGTACATAAAAAATGATAAAAATAAAAAATTCTCTACTTGTGTACATCTGAAAAGGCAAGGGCATCTAATACATGTACATGTATATTGTAAACTATACTTACATGTACACATGTACGGTACCCATGTAGACTAATAATAATGTTACCTTTGTCTTACAGCAGTTTCCCTGCTCTTCAAGTCGGACTCATAGTTGCGCCTTATCTCCTCAATACGTCCTTTGAGACGTCTCGCTGTCTCATATTTAGCTAAATCCTTCTCTCCCTAAAATAATACATAAAAGTATGTACATGTACACATACACGTACATTAAATTACATGCACATTAAATTTTAATTACAAACAAAGTATAGGCCAAATCAATTGAATTCCTATAAGTTATTGGGCCAGTTTCTCAATACATTTAGGAAAAGCTAGTGATTAAACAACGCTAGCAATTTTGCTAAACCCTTCTCTCCCTATCAATAATACATACATGTACACACGTACATGTACATATGTACATTAAATTGCATGTACATGTACATTAAATTTTAATTAGAAACAAAGCAGTGCTTTAATAATTGAATTGGCTCAATTCCTGCAGTACCATTAGGCCAATTTACTCAATACAATAAGAAAAGCTAGCCATTAATTGAACTTGGAGCAAAATAGTCATTGACACACAAAATGTGAACGAATTTGATATAAATAAGTCAAATTCCACAAAAACCTTGTAACGGTAAACCAACATGCATTAATTACTACATAATTAATTATAGATGCATACATTACATGTACATGTACAGTACAGGTATTAATCATGTGATGTTAATATTCTGTATAGTATGCTTACCTTTAGTCTTGAGGTTGGGTTGAGCATAACATATTTGATCTGGCTTTGAATGTTCTCAGTCCATGAAGCCAACCATGTGACCTTTAATAGGAGAGAAAGAGAGAGAGCTACTCAATGCAATGATATTTTTTACATACAGTGTACATGTAAATGTACGTACAAATTTGCTAACTTTTAAAAATGCTCATAACTCAAAAAAAATTTAAGTCGGAATTAGCTCAAACTTTCTATACTGCATAAGGACATCAATATGTATCTGAAAATGTAATAAAAATTTGGGGTGATTTTGGAGCCATTTTTCTGAAAAACCCATGGGCTATAGCCTTGGGTAATTTTCGAAAATTGGCCATTTAAAAAAACTGGCCGTAACTTGAACAATTGAAGTTGGAATCAGCTCAAACTTGCTACACATCAAAGGACATCAATATGTATCTGAAAATGTAATAAAAATTTAGGGTGATGTCGGAGCCATTTTCAGAAAAAAATGGATGTTACACACCAGAACCATACAAACATGAACATGTAAATTTATACATGTATTCTACCCTTTCCTTCTCCCTCACCTTGTTATCATGCTGGACACTCTTCCACTTGTGTCCTTCAGGTGCAGGAGGCACTGGTGCCTTCTTACCAATATTAATAGTAACATCCTCCGGCTGTACCCTCCTCTTAATCTTCCCTTGCTTAGGATGGTCCCCTCTACCACGAAACAGGCCCGGTGGTTCGGTTTTAAAATTCCCTATCTTCTCCTTGTGACCATCCATAATTGCCCAACCGTATTCTTCTGTGATGGCGTCATTGGCTTCTTTTATTTTCTTCTTCTCTTCTTTTGTCATTTGTTTCTTTTCCTCTGATTTCCTTAGGAAGTACTCGTGGATCTCTTTGAAGTTGCACCTTGTGAAGTCTTTAATGGTAGCAGCCTCTTCTGAGGTCATCTCCTTTTGAATAGAGAGAGAGAAAAGTAGAAACAAAAAATGAATTTTTAGGCTAATTTTGATAAAATTGGATTTCTATTTGTGAAGTTAATTGCTCAAAATTTGGTCAAAAACCAATTTAAATCATGTACTATGTACATGTACTATATTTTTAGGCTCATGAAGCATGCTGTTTAGCTCAAAAAAGAGAAAGGGAGAGAGAGATACCGTATAGCACAAAAATTTGGAGGGACAAAAATTTGGCGAATTTGGCGAATAGAGTTTCATTCGCCAAAATAAAAACCGCCATTTTGAGCCTTTATACGCATGCTCAATGGCACGTGGCCACTAATTCGCCAAATTAAAATCCGCCAATAACCAAAATTTAGCAATTCGCCAAATTTTACTCCCTCCAAAATTTCCGGCTATACGGTACATGTACATGTACTTCATTGTGCAGGTACAGGTACATACAAGATTATACATGTACATGTATATTTACATATACATGTAAGTACATGTATAATTACATGTTCAGTACTGACTACATGTACAATGTACATGCAATACTCAGTATCTTATAATTGATGTTTTCTTACTTTTCTCCAATCAGCAAAGAAGTTATTACAAAAGACGTCCTTTGACGTATAATCATGATCCAACATTTTAGCAAAAAATGTAGCAGCTTCTTCAGCTGCTTCTGATAACTTCATCGGCTTACCTAATGGAGAGAGAGAGAACAGGGTTTATATAAAATATACAATAATGAATTACAAATACACATGCATGTACATTACCATTATACTCTGGACGTAAACATCATCCGCATGATAAACAGATAATTAATACATGTACATGTAAATAACATGCATTAATACATGGTCTCATGTTACTATCATGTGCAAAAACAGCATTTACATGTAACCATGCAATGTGAACAATAATTTATTTTAAAAATATTACACAGTAAAGTTTTATATAGTATTTTATATAGTAATACATGTACATGTATGTTTATACATTGTACATGTATAGCAACAATATCGTACATGTAAATCTACATGTACATGTACATGTACATGTAGTACATGTAAGTACATTTTCCTTACCATTATAATAAAACTTTACATCAGACGGTAACCTTTCATAAGGAGGAGCAAAATAAGGACCCTACATAATACAACACAATAAACCACACCCATAACCACGCCTACTAATTACCTTATGCTCCAGCGTCAACCACTTCACTCCTTCAGGGTGTGGCTCCTCGTCCCACCACCTCCAAACCTCCCTCTCCTCCTCTTTCTTCTTCCCTTTGACTGGGGTACCTCCCACGTCCTTCCCAGGAGTGCCAGAACCTTTTTTAGAATCGCTCGTCTTTTTAGCGGGTGTGGCCTTTTTGGCAGAGGAGGGTGTGGTCTTTTTAAGGGTCGGGTCTTTTTTTATTTTTGTCGTGGGCGTGTCTGGTTTGGAGACTGAGTTTTTGCGTGAGGATGAGGGTTTCTTTGTCGAAGTCGGTGTTTTTGTTGAAGGAGTTTTCTTGGGAGTTGAAGCCTTCTTCTCTATAAATGCACATGTACATGTACATGTAAATATTAATATGACACAAAATGTACAAATTACTTTGTATACAATTACATGTAAAAAACATAAAATACAAAGCCCATGGTTTCTTCAAAAAATGGCTTCAAAATCACCCCAAATTTTTATTTCATTTTCTGATACATATTGATGTCCTTATGCTGTAAAGAAAGTTTGAGCTGATTCCGACTTCAATTTTTCGAGTTATGGCTGTTTTTAAAATGACCAATTTTTGAAAATACCCAAGGCTATAGCCCATGGTTTTTTTGGAAAAACGGCTCCAAAATCACCCCAAATTTTTATTACATTTTTTGATACATATTAATGTCCTTATGCTATGTAGAAAGTTTGAGCTGATTCCGACTTCAATTTTTCAAGTTACGGCCATTTAAAAAATGACAAAATTTTGAAAAATACCCAAGGCTATAGCCCATGATTTTTTGGAAAAATGGCTCCAAAATCACCCCAAATTTTTATTACATTTTCTGATACATATTGATGCCCTTATGTTATGTAGAAAGTTTGAGCTGATTCCAACTTCAGTTTTTCGAGATATGGCCATTTTTAAAAATGGCCAATTTTTGAAAAATACCTAAGGCTTATAGCCCCACAATGAACTTTCTAAGATGTCAGTACTCATTCTCCATCATACGGTCAGCACTACGATGTCTGAGGGGATCACGGTCGAAGGTTCGCTTTGTAAACTCAGTTGATTTCTCGAGGGCCATGGCTGATGCCCACTTTAATTTTTAATTAATTATTTTATTTATAACTTTCTCAACATTTCCTGTATATTATTAATTCCTTTTTGTTTATTTCTCTTCTCTTGTTTTCTTTTAATAAAAATATTTTAAGGGCTCAGTTCCCTTTTTAATAGGCTTATAGCCCATGGTTTTTTTTTGGAAAAATGGCTCCGAAATCACCCCAAATTTTTATTATATTTTCTGATACATAATGATGTCCTTATGCTGTATAAAAAGTTTGAGCTGATTCCGACCTCAATTTTTCGAGTTATGACCATTTTAAAAAATGGCCAATTTGTGAAAAATACCCAAGGCTATAAGCCCATGGTTTTTTTAAATGGCTTCAAAATCACCCCAAATTTTTATTACATTTTCTGATACATATTGATGTTCTAATGCTGTATAAAAAGTTTCTGATTCTGACTAGAACTTTTTGAATAATGACCATTTAAAAGATGCTCTTAACAAACAATTCTCACCGTCTGAAACTGATTTCTTTGGTTTCTTAGCAACTGGTTTAAAGTCATCATCATCATCATCAGGACTGCCTCCTGACCCCTCCCAATCATTGTCTTCATCTTTCATTCCATTCTCATCATCACCATCATCAGACACTGGAGACTTCTTCCTCTTAACCTGTAACACAAGTACAACAAAAAAGGTAAAAAATTTAAGGGAATAAGGACATCCTGAGATATTTTAAAAACATATAAACATGTAAATATACAGTACACCTATATGAGTTAATAATTGCATGACAGCTAAATGTAGTACACTATACAACATATTCTACGCCGTGATGAAGCAGGGGGTATAGGCACAGTAGAACACTCTCCTCTAATTATTATCTACTCTTGACAACATGTAGTATATAGTATTTACGTACATGTACATATACTTCTTATTATGGGCCATAATAAGGTCTAGCTACATGTACATGTACATGTACACATGTAAGAATGAAGCTATAGTGGTCTCTACATGTGAATACTGTACATATACACATTTTCATGCATGTACATGTACAAGTATTATATTTTATATTATTAATGAATATTGTATAATACATGTGTTATATTAATAA